TTTGCTCCACGAGGTAGGGGCGCTTGACAGGGGGGGAAGCTATAGTGCCAGGAAAACAAGTTTGTTTTCTTGGCACTATAGCTTCCCTTTAATGTCTACTCAGTGTGTATCTTTGCCTAGATGTCTCTTAACTGCAATTCAGAGTTTAGTGAGGGGAATGTAGTTGCATTCATGAGGGGGCGGCAAAAAGGATTGTTGCCTAGGGCGGCGACAATCCTTGCACCGACCCTGAAAAGGAGGCTAGAATAAACCATGCATTACCCAGCTCTTGTCCATTCAAATAAAAGTTGCAATAATTACATGGCATGCCTCTTATTTTAAAAGACAAAAATAAATTCCAATAAAGCAAAGACAATGTATTTAAGCGCTCCACATAAGTGATACCGCAATTTAATAAAAATAAGGTACAAAGCTTTTCAGCCTCACAATGTGGCCTTTGTCAAATTTCAAAAACAATTCAAGGCATGCAATTCACAAAGCTAATCACTTTAGTGTGAATTTCAGGAAATTCCAGGTGAATGCAAAGTCAATTTAGGTCTTAGGCCACAATAGCCGAATCCAGAAAATAATTCTCCAAATCAGCCTTGTTTTCAGTTCAGCTGTTGTGGACTAAAATTTGAAATGCGCTTTATGTTTCCAAAAATATACACTTTAATGAATCCTCTGAATGTTATTATTGAGGTATTTTAATCCTCTCAATGATTTGAACAGGTCTGAGAAATAGATACAATTTAATTGATGTATTTAATAAGATTGTTGCACCAATAATCAAGATAGTTGCAACAATATTTCATTGTTTAGATAACTTCTGTGGTGGAAATGCATATCTTACTAGCTTTACATTAACTTGAATTTAAAGGGACACTATTGTCACCAGAACAACTACAGCTTATTGCATTTGTTCTGGTGAGTAGAACAATTTCCTTCAGGCTTTTTGCAATAAACACTGTCTTTTTCAGAGAAAAGGCAGTGTTTACATTCCAGCCCAGGAATACCTCCACTGGCCACTCCTCAGATGACTACTAGAGGTGCTTCTTGGGCAGCATCTCTATGAGGAGATGCTGATTGGCCAGGGCTGTGTTTGGTTTGTGCTGGCTCTGCTCCTGATCTGCCTCATTGACAGTCTCATCCAATTCATTGTGATTGGCTCAGATTATAACTTCTGATGATGTCTGCCAAGCAGGCAGAGGCAGCAGCAACATACTGGAATAAAAGTAGGATTTTACTATATTTAGGGAGGCTAGGTGTTTTTAACACTATAGTGTCAGGAATACATGTTTGTGTTCCTGACCCTATAGTGTTCCTTTAAGCTGTGTTGGGGATAACTTTATCTCTAGTGAGTAATTTTGAAATCTTACCAATTACTGTTTGTGGTGTATTTTAAATTATATTAATAAAAGTCATAATTTATTTTATTTATCGAGTATATATTTTTTTCTAGGAAATAATATTGTTTTCCCTTGTGACCCTTTAGTGAATATCTTTATGCGAACTACGTTATCAAATTTGCAGCAATATGTGACATAGTATAAATTCGCAATAAATCCACATTGAAATGTTTCTTTCTGTCCCACAGATACATCTTTGAGCAGTAAACCAGCCGAACGTGTTTCATTACAAGATTTTGTTACTAAAACTAAAAATGGTTTTGGAATTTGTGCAAAAGGAATGTATGTAGAAACATATAATGAAATACAACAAGGACAATCCCTAAGAAATATGGAGGAGGAGTCCAAATCATGTGAAGGAGAGCTTATACACAATAATATTAATAACCCCACTGAGCATACACCATTACTACATACATCACACATTAAGGGGGAATCCACATGTGATCCAAGAAATCTAACACACACTGAGAGTTATAACTTTATGAAGCAAGTACAAATGGAACTCGATTGTATACATTTTGAGAAGAATTTAACTTCATATAAGAGTGAAATTCTCAAGGAAACAGATACTTGTATGCCAGCAGAACACACATCGCTCAAATTGACATCAAGACAGCAAGAGTTCACCTCTTGTGGACAAAAGAATCCAACAGATCATGAGATTTGTGCATCTACAGAATATACTCAGAAAAAAATGAATTCTACTCCTAATGAGCTATTGTATAAAGAGGAAAATCTCTCTAGCAGTCATACACCCAATAAGTATGCACAGATAGAATATATATGTAATAACAAAGAGCCAACCATAAATAATGGTAATAAACAGAAGATACATAAGAACCTAACTGGTAAGTTCAAAAATAGAAATAAAAGTGTTAATAAAATATCAAATGATATATTTTATCAGAGTGCAGAAAAGGAGAGGTTGTTTAATTGCACCAAGAACAAGGGAAAGACACCATTTTCATGTTCTGAATGTGGTAAATACTTCACTTGTAAGTCAAGTCTTGTCAGACATGAGAAGAAGCAAGCAGGACGGAAACACTTCTCATGTTCCGAATGCGGGAGATGTTTTTCTGAGAAGTCAAGTTTTACTTTACACCAGAAGGTTCACACAGAAAGAAAACCGTACCCTTGTTCAGAATGTGGTAAATGTTTTATTGTTAGGTTAAATCTTGTTAAACACCAAAAGATCCACACCAAAGAAGGACCATTCTTATGCTCCGAATGTGGAAAACCATTTTCTTATAAGTCAGATCTCATTATACACCAGAGGATTCATACAGGAGAAAAACCATTCACATGTTCTGAATGCGGAAAATCGTTTAGCCAAAATTCACATCTGAGTGAACATCAGAAGATTCACACTGGAGAGAAACCATTTTCGTGTTCTGTATGTGGGAAATGTTTCACCCAAAACTCACATCTGATTTCTCATCAAACTGTACATACAGGAGACAAGCTATTTGCATGTCCCAAATGTGGAAAATGTTTTACATGCAAGTCAAGTCTTGTTAGGCATCAGAGAATTGAAACAGGAGAGAAACATTATTCATGTTCTGAATGTGGGAAATTTTTTACTTGCAAATCAAGCCTTGTTACACATTCTAGAATTCATACAGGGGAGAAACCATTTTCATGCTCTGAATGTGGAAAATGCTTTACCATAAAGTCAAATTTAGTTACACATCAAAGGATTCACACAATAGATAAATTATTTTCATGTTCAGAATGTGGGAAACATTTTAATCAAAAATCACATCTTATTTCACATTTAAGGGTTCACACAAGAGAAAATATACCATGATAGTTTTGATATTTGTGCTAGTGGATCAAGTCTGAGTATGCATCGAACAATCCACATTTATTGACGTGGGAAAATGCAATGGAAAAATCCGCTCATGACAGATGACTTGCCGTATATTAAATACATTTGCATAATCTTCAATGGGTTTAGAGACATAATGTAAAATGGAGTAGGGGACACAAAGCTTAAATGTACACATGAAGTCCAGTGAAATTAAAAAATAGCAAAGCTAAAATTAGACCATTCCTTCTGTGTACAATATGAAGATTTAAAAAAAAATGTATTTAAAAAAATGTTTGTTAAAAATGTATTAGTGAAATGCCAAAATAAGATGCAATTCTTTAATATTAACATGTATTTCTTCTTATATTATCATCTGTGGCATTAACTTATTTATAGCATTGCAAGCTACGTTATATGATCTAGATGCTCCTATTCAAAAGATCTAAAAACCTGAAAAAATTAAGTTGTATATAGAAATGAAAACACAATTGAAAATATATTGTAATTTATTTCAAAGCTTTGTCAACCAAATATTATAGCAACCATGCTTGCCTATGAATCTGATGTTTAGACTTATTTTCTATTTAACTTCCTGTTGTTAACTAGTTAAGGTAAGTTGATCCTTCAGAAATAGAGAAAACCAGAACAGTTGTTTGTTTTGTGCGTCCTGTTGGCCAGGCCAGATTTTGACATATCAAAAGTGCATGCCTTTCTAATTCATTGTTCTTCATTTAAACTGAGTTTGTTTGCCCAACTTTATTTAAAGTAATTTTTTTTCTATCCATTCTGGATGGAATCTCATAGAAAATATTAAATGCTCTTCAATCTGGTCACATAGTAACGTAATAGCTATAACAAACCGTTTGTTTAAAAAAAAAAAAACATTTCAACAATCACATCATTTCTCAAATTCTCTGTAAAAATACATATTTCTATAGCCATTTTCACAGATACTTGATTTCTCCAGATACCTCCTAGAGTTGTTACCAACCCTAACTGATCTTCGCATCAGCTTGCAGACATGCTATTTATTTCCACTTCTCTCTTCACTTTTACTCATTAAAGTCAACTCAGTCTAGTTTTGTATTTTCATTGTAGTGGTGCCTCAGTAGTCATTAAAATGTGCTTTAGTAGTGTTCTTTAACAAAACACTAACAGGATTATTTACTGAAGTGAGAATTGCCAAAATTGAAAGTAAATTTTAATATGTAGTCTGGAATACTAGACTTGAAAAAATCCTCCTAGTCAATTCTGTTTTCAGTTTGGCTATTGTGACCTTAAATATGAAATTAACTTTGCATTACCAGCAATTCTCACTTTAGTGACTAATTCTTAGAATGAAAAATAATTTAAAAAAATACAGTACATGGTTTAAGGTTTTTTTTAGTTATTTTTTTACTAGTTATGCAATCTCAATAATCATACATATTACAAGTCTATAGTGGGCAGGATATTCATGAAACTGTGCCCATCTGCATAACTGAAGTAATAGAGTGACTCTTGATACTTCATGTTAACCCTGGATTTTCCCTGTCTCCAGGGCCAGACTGGGGATTCCAAAGCAGCCCTGGAAAAAAAATCTATGCCAGCCCCATAAGTTATTGTGCCATATATTGTCGCATGTAATATGTAAGGCTATGTCTTGCCACCCTAGATGATTGAGATATATATATATATATATATATATATATATATATATATCTTTTTCCAATATAAAATATTGGTCCTTTCAGAGTAACATTTTTAATTATACAGTAAGCATACTCACATGCAGACACAGACAATCTCACTGACACAAGCTGATTGATACACAGCCTCATAGACAAACAATCTCACTGATACACATAAGGTCATTAAAATAAAAACACAAGCTCACTCAGTAGCAGGCACACACACACAAGCAAGCCCACTCACTAGCAGGTGCGCACACACACAGCTTAATGTAGTGGCTCTGGTGTCTATAGCCTGTCCCTGCAGGCTTTTCAATGTAAACACTGACTTTTTAGAGAAAAGGCAGTGCTTACATTGCTTCCTAGTGACAGACACTCAGACGGTCACTAGAGGTGCTTCCTGTGTCAGTGCGGATTGGCTGAGATCATCAAGCTTGATGATCTCAGCCGTAGAGGCAGGGCCAGTCGAGGGGAGACCAGCACGACGTGGGAAAAAAAAAAAAGGTGAGTAAAAACACACATACCATGACAGACACACACCGTGACACAGACAGAAACACAGACACACCATGACACAGACAGACAGACACACACATACCATGACAGACACACCTTTAAAAAGACACACACACCATAACACAGACTGTGACACAGACACACACACGACACAGACAGACACACCACGACACAGAGATCGTGACACAGACACACATTACATGACACAGGCAGACACACACCATGACACAGACACACACACCATGACAGACATAGACACACAGACACACACAATGACACAGACAGACACACCACGACACAGAGATCGTGACACAGACACACATTACATGACACAGGCAGACACACACCATGACACAGACACACACACCATGACAGACATAGACACACAGACACACACAATGACACAGACAGACACACCATGACACAGACACACACATACACTCACACTGACACACACAATGTCTACCTGGGGCTGTGGGGAGCTCTGATGGCGGCCGCAGGAGGAGCTGGCTGTTTTGTCTCTGCTTCCCCTCCCCAGCGCGCCGCTTAATGAGACCGGGGCCGGAATATGACGTCATATTCCGGCCCCGGTCTCTTTCTAGCGCGCTGGGGAGGGGGAGCAGAGACAAAACGGCCAGCTCCCCCTGCGGCCGCAGGTCAGCCAGCTGCCTGTCCGGCCCCAGGTGCCGACGGCCCACCGGGAAATTTCCCGGTATCCCGGTGGGCCAGTCCGGCCCTGCACACACACAGACAGACACACACCATGACACAGAGAGACCGTGACACAGACAGACGCACACACCATGACAGTCAGAGACACACACACCATGACACAGATGCACACACCATGACAGACATAGACACACACAATGACACAGACAGACACACCATGACACAGACACACACACACTGACACACACAATGTCTACCTGGGGCTGTGGGGAGCTCCCTTGGCGGCCGCAGGGGGAGCTGGCTGTATTGTCTCTGCTCCCCCTCCCCAGCGCGCTAGAAAGAGCTGGGGAGGGGGAGCAGAGACAAAACAGCCAGCTCCCCCTGCGGCCGCCAAGGGAGCTCCCTCTGCGGCTGCAGGTCAGCCAGCTGCCTGCCCGGCCCCAGGTGCCGACGGCCCACTGGGAAATTTCACGGTATCCCGGTGGGCCAGTCCGGCCCCGCCTGTCTCCAACCCCAGCGATGACTGGACCCATGGTGGAGTCAGCTTTAGAGACCATTTTGTTAAAAGCTTTGTTTCAATCTTATGTAAGACTACCTAATTGCAGCCTAGCTAGAAGTAATAACACAGGATTGTAATAAGTTAGGGCCTAGGTAATACTTGGTTGGAAAAATAAAAGAAATATTGCTTCCTCACGGTCTTTTGATTGCTTCATTGAGCTTTTACCAGAGAATACTTTTATCCTCTGAGGCTGATGGTGATGATTGATAATATAGGCGAAAAGCACTACGAGCACAAAAGTGTTACAATGGACGATATAGAAGAACAAACAAAAAAGGCAAACATTTTAAGATGATACTCAAGGTAAGAATCAGCTTCCCAAGAAAGGAAGAGAGGTGATCTATTTTGACACCTGAATCTATTGAATGGATGCACAGAGTGGACATTCCAGAGTGTGAAATGATAAGGGGAGTGGAGTGATGGGGTGTTTGTAAGAGATTGCTTGGTTTTCTTGAATCACTAAGGCTAGAATGAGATGAAGAGTTTTCAAGGTTTGTGGAGACATCACCACCTTCTAACAGCAGAAGGAAGAATAGTAAATGAAGGTGAGAAGAGTTCCAACTTTTTTATTATATGTTTTGATTCAGTTGAGAATTCCATTTAAAAAAAAAAGTACAATGTTTTTATAAGGATTCTATCTTATTTGAAAAACTCAATTGAAAGTACTGCTTTAAATGTGGTAGTGACTGGGGTTTGGAAGATATAGAGATGATGATAGAAAGAAGTGGTGGATATTAAGGGAGCTATGTAGATAATATGAGCAAAGGATGTTAGATAAAAAGCTTTATTTTAGTAAAAGGAAGAGTGAAGGGGAAAAGTAGAAAGGAGGACGTCATAAATGAAGATGAAGAAGGTAGTTACAGGGGAGAAAGCAGAAAAGTGAAATAGGAATTTGGCATGTATGTGTAAGAATTCTGAATTTTACAAAGAATGGATTTACACTTAATTTGATCTCTGAAGAGCTTACATACTGGTCCATGTAAAGGGGAGGGAGAAATGAAGGACAGTATTTAATACTATTAGATAGCAATATCTTTTTAAATCCGGCAAATCCCTTTGGAACTGATTCTACACTTGGTTCTTTTTTTAATGATTAATTTTTATAAAACATAATACCATTTTTAAAACAAAGAAATATTTTGTTATCTATCGTTTATCCTTAAACTGAAGCCCCTGGTAATTTAGCCACCTAGAATCACTCCTGTTCTAATACCTAAAATGTGGTGGACTCAGTGGTGTACCTGGAGCATTTGGCACCTGGGGCCGATCTTATATTTGGTATCCCCTCCCCAATTTTAAAATATAAAAAAAAAAAAACACTTTTTTTTAAAAAATGTATTTTGCATTGAGCAGTGTTTGCATTTTGTTTTATGTATTTAGCACTGAGCAGTGTTTGAATCCAAGCATGTTTTTGTATGAAGTATGTGTGAGTGAATGTAGGGGTGTATTGGCATGTAGTGTTGGTATTAGAATGCAGGCGTGCGTTTTTGTGTAGTGTGTTTTTATGTAATGTTGATATTTGGATGCAGGGGTGTATTTGTGTGTAGTGTTAGTGAAATGCTGAGATGTATGCACATATACACATATACTCAAATATACACACACTGGCACACATGCAGATAGACACACAGATGCACATACTGGCACATACAGATACACAGACACATAGATATACACATGAAGATACTTAGAAACACAGTCATGCACAGATACAGACAAAACACTGACACACGTACAGATAGAGACACACATATACAAACACCCATATAGATAAAAAACACACACACTTGAAGACGCACACTGACACACAGATACAAACACAGATACACAGACACCAGTGTGTATGTTTTTAATGTATGCAGTGTGTGTATAGTGTATATGCAGTGTGTGTGTGTATAGTGTGTATGCATAGTGTATATTCTATGTGTGTGTGTGTGTGTATAATGAGTGTATAGTGAGCAATGTGTATTGTTTGTGTGTGTCCACCCACCCCCCTCCCTGACTCTTACCTTTGTCCAGGGAAGGGGGACACACTACATTCCCTGGTGGTCCAGTGGCACAGTATGGTTGCCCAGTGAAGAGGGGCCCAGGAGTCTCCAGCAGAAGCATGTCCACTGTTCCCCCCCTTAGTTCGCCACTGGGTGAACTTTTTGTCTGCACTTATGCATTAAATTGCTGCCTTCCAAGCAGCCCGGTGTGCTGTGTTTGTGTGTTTTGTTGTTGTTGGGTTTTACTGGGGTTCCTCCCCACCCCCTTTTTTTTCTGTATTAGTTATTTGGCAATAAAGCCTAAACAGAGGCATGCATGCAATGTACTTCCATAGTATGTTTGTTTATTTTTCTAGATAAAGTTATACTATTAATATATGAGAGCAGCAGTAAATCTTACAAGAATTCACAAAAAAAGCTTGTAAAAATGCACAGTATACCAAAACAGAAGTTAGATAAACCACAATCAAAACAGACGAGGAAGTAAAAGCAACCCTAAAGTGTAATAGTATATAAACATGTATACATACATGAACCAATAACAGTTCTTTGAGACTGGTTTGGATAATCTAAAAAAAAAAAAAAATGAAAAACCAACAATAGTGCAATATGAATGTACAGTGTTCAGATTTTGCTAAATAATATAGAGGGTTAACTCACAAATTAAGGAGCTACCTAGAGCTATACTTCAGTCAGCATAGACTGAATAATGGTTATGGGGAAATCGTATGGGGATTTTGAAGACATCAAAAGTTGTTTCATGGAGTTAAACACCTTTAGAAGACAGGAAGCTTCTCTTGTGGCTGTCTTAATCCTGCACTGTAAGGTTTGCAGTTTATCTGGGTGCCTATAGTAGCCAAATTTGGAGAATATTGCCAGTTCTGTTACTCTGGCCTTAATCTGGAAATTCACAGATTAACCCTGTAAGAATAAAGAGTAGCAGGCTAGAGAGAATCAGTGGCATAGCGTAAACAAAAATAAAAAAAAGGGGGATTGGCTGCAAGCTGGGTCAAAAAGAAACGGAAGAGGAAAATTTAAATACATAGATTGCTAAGAGAGAAGAATGAACACTATGGAGTAGAGCTGCAATTGATCAATTCAAATTACACATTGAACCACATTGCAAAACAAATAATTTAGAAGAATTCTCCAACTCGTCTCAGCCACAGCTTATTATTTTTTTTTAAATTCTTTATTTTTGATGTGCATAGAAGTAGGAATGCACATACTATGCCACAGTAGCAGAAACAAGTGTCACAGGATACTTTCCATTAGTTTTCTGTATCCAGTGATGGCTTTATAAGCTGAAATGTGTAGTGTGGTGCCGTCAAAGTTTGCTATAATGCAGTCTTGGAGCTCCGGAATCGTGCGTCCGGACAGAGTGTTGGCAATCTCTCGCACCCCACCCATCCTCCTCCCCCCCCGCCCCCCATTACAGATTTTCATGTTGAGAAACAGTCCAGGGCGACTAGTTCCTAGTTTCATTTAGTTTGTTTTTTTGCTCTCCTCCCTCTTTTTTTTTTTGTTTTTTGATGCCCAGTGCAGAGATCTTGTCTGATCTGCTTATTATGATGGGCATGATATGTTCGTAATATTGTAATAAATCTACACTACAAGGATACTCATTCTCTAGATATTATTATTATTTTTTTTTTTTTCATTCCATTAATTAGTTATGTCCACAAGGTGTCACTAGTGTTAAAGGTAGATCAGTGGTTCCCATTTCAGTATTTTTCCTTGGCACCCCAAGTCAAAATTTCTAGGTTGTATTTCTGTACAGAGCTGCCGCATTTATTGGCACGATAGTGTAATGCACAGTGTTGGTGTTTGAAGGGATGTTTGTATACATTTATTGTGTTTTAATACAGGGGTGTGTTTGTATGTGATGTTTGCGTTTGATTGCAGGGGTGTGTCTGAATGTAATGTTCACTTTTAAATGTGGATGTACATTTGTAATTAATATAGTTGCATTTATTTCAAAGTTTTATATTTTTCTCTGTCCAATCTCCCCTTTTTCTCTTCATTAGACTCCCCCTGCTTCTCCACCGCCCAATGCTCTCCCTGCTTCTCCATCGCCCAATGCTCTCCCTACTTCTCCACTGTCTGTGATCTCCCTACTTCTCAACCGTCCCGTGCTCTCCCTGCTTCTCCTCTGTCCAAGACACAAACTGTCACACTTGCAGACACACAGAAACAAACACTAACACACATA